TTTTTGGCATCGAAACAACTTCTTCTAATGAAATTTTGTGATGCACCTTAATTTGATTATTTATGGCCTCACGCTTTATATAATCGTTTTCCATTCTCATATCTTCTTGAGGGAAAAAAGTTCATACAAGTTAGTAAACTTATACTGTTAAAGTAAGGTGCATCATACGAATCATCTAGAAGAGATTGGAGAAGCTTTCAATTGATCATTTCGACCTCGAGATATGTAGATATTAAGAAAAAGAGAATTTTAGTATAAAAAATAGTGCATCTTGTAAGAAGCTATCTAGACCATCGATTTTAGAGATTTTCAAGTGTTCATAGATTTGCTCGATCAAGTCTATTGTTATAATTTTAAATTTCATAACTAGAATATCATGTTTTTCAAGTAATCTCCCCTATTGTGAATTTGCGTTACCTTCATAATTGATGTATCGAGTTAAACAATATACTATCAATCCAATATATTTAGGTCACCCCCAAAAATGAACGTTGTAAATATTGTATCCCTAATATTTTTAGTATCACACTCTAAACTCAATCTTGCTTTTAATCCCACTTAAAAAGTAAATCATTTAAAGACTAAAATACCCTTCCCCTCTCTCTTTCTCTCTCACTGTCTACCTACCCTCTCTCTTTCTCTCTCTATCAGCCCCTCTCTATCCGCTTGTCTCCTCTCCCACTATCCACCCTCTCTCTCTCTCACTTTCTCTCTTTCTCCAAAAGCCTACTATCAGTTCGACACATTTTTGTGCCAGACCGAATTTTTTTTTTTTGCGGTCTAGCACAAAAATGTGCCGAAACCGATCATAGGCTTATGGAAATTGAAAAGCCCCATATGACGGTCCAGCATAGTTTTATGTCGAACTGAAAAATATTTCGGTTCGGTACAAAACTGTGTCGGACAATCTTATGGGGCTACTGGATTTCCAGGAGCTTGTGACCAGTCTGGCTCAAAAGTAAGCCAGACCGTCATATGCCAGTTTTTAAGCTAAGTACAGAGAAAGAGAGAGAGGGTGGGTAGAGAGAGAGAGAGGGGCATTGTAAATAGAGAACGGGTAGAAAGAGAGGCGAAGGGTCGTTTAGCTTTTAAATGATTTACGTTTTGATTAAGGGGTAAAATCAAGAAACAAATGTATTTGGGTTTAGAGTGTAATATCAAATATTGAGAGATAGAATGGCTACCAAATTCATTTTGAGAGTACCAACAATTTTCCTTTTAAAAAATCCCATTATTATTTTATGAATTCTTAAAGTATATAGCTGTAATATAGTACTCCAATGTTTGAGAGAGAGGTGGGCTCCAAATATGGTAATCCTAAACATAGTTCTGTGCGCCGTAGAGAGAGAGAGAGAGAGAGAGAGAGATGAGAGTTGCTTCTTTAAAAAGATTGTCATATTAAACATGACATGACGCAGCACAGAGAGAAAGAGAGAGAGAGATTACATTGCGATTCAAATATATTAATCTACACCATATATGGTAATTTCATATTGGTCTTCAAATATAAGACATTTTTACAGAGGTCTTGCACGCAGTTTTATTTTTGTTTTAACTTTGCACCAAATTTTTGCAGAGGTCATATTTTTTAACTTTGCCTCAAATTTTTGCCGAGGTCTTGAACCCTGTTTTATTTATTTTTTAATTTTGCGTCAAGTTCGATATTTCAAATATTAGATTATTTTTTATTTTTATTTTTTATTTTTTGATATTTATAGTAAAAAATATCGAATAGCCACATTTCTAGTGTGGTTTGATATTGGAAATATCGAGCTGCCCTACATTTCAAGTCATTCCCCTGTCTATAGCTGTACAATGTTAGAAACATTGGACCACTCTGCATTTAAGTGTAATTTCTTTTGTTCAGTGGTATAATATTTAAAACATCAGATTGAATCATACTTGAACAACGTTTACGTTTCAAGCAGTCTAATGTTTGAAATATTGCATCGTTTTTTATTCTAAATAATTTTGAGAACAAAAAAAGGTATGATGTTTCAAACATTGAACTGATATATGATATTATTTCGATACTTTGAACATAGAACCCTTTTACCTAAATTGGGGCTTAAAAGCCCCAATCCCATGTGCATTCCCATTTGCACTCAGCTCTTTCTCTCTTTACTCGCACCCTCTTTTTCTCTCTACTCTCTTGCACCGTCTCTTTCTCTATAACCCTTCTATTTTCATTTTTCCTCTATTTTTTGTTGTGGGTTTCCTTGTACTAGTCGAAAGCATAGGCGCTAGGGTTTTAGTAGTCTTCTCTTCATCACTCAAGAATTAGGGTTAGGGGTTTTTTTATAAGAGTATAGACCAATGTTGTCATATCTGCTTCAGAGCTTTTTACGATTTGATGAGAAAAATGAAGCAATTCGGTTTTTCGGCTTATTCATGGGAAGACTGAAGCCCGAAGCTTCAGCCGAAACAAACCCGAAGAGACGCGAATATGACCGAGGCAGCCCCGAATCGTATTGTGCATGGAAGCTCTAAATCGATGAGTTGATTTTTGGCAAATAAAGAAGAAATAAAACATGATTATGGGTGGGAATGAATTACACCAATCCAGATCAAGAGAAATAAAACTTGAAATACACACCACAAGAATACAAAGATTTAAGTGGTTCACCTAAGATGGCTATATCCACTGCACGACAAACTTAAATCATTATACCAATGAAATATACATCAAAGATTTTAGAACAAAGCTCGACAAAATATCTAAGTCGAGCAAACCCATTTAAACCACTCTCCCTTCCTTCTTTGTACTTCTGACAACTATTACCGACAACACCAGATAGAGACGCGAGAGTAACGAGAAACTGACTTTCTTTCTAACGAAAGGAGAAAACACCCAAATCTCAATGGGAACTCTTCTCTATAAGTAATAAACAAGCCTTTCAATCTTCGAGAGTATAAAAGAGGCAACATCACAATGTTTCTCTCCAAATGAAGCTTTATTCTCTCTAAGAGGAAATCTCCAAATGAAGTTTTATTTTCTCTAAGAGGAAATTGCATCTTATTTACAGGAGACTCTAGCTCCCTTTATCTCCAGATGAACCATTATTCCCATATGGTAATCAAAATAGGGCACTCAAATTGTCTGCACTTTCACCCCATATATAAGATTAGGATTCCACACTAAATAGGAAACTTCCTATAGATCTTACGTACATCTCAAAACCAGGAGATAGATTTAAGAGTCCTAATCTTTTTGGATTTCAATTTGTTTTAGAGAACTTATAAATATAAACTCAATTCCAAAAAATATGAGAATATATCAATCCCACATAATATGGGAATATCTCAATCCCACATAATATGGATCAATCTCAATCAATCTTACAAAATATGAGATTTCTTTATGTGGGTGATTTTAGATGGCACCAAATCTAATCTTAACGAAATAGAAGCACCACATTTTTCTTCGCTTCGATTTATGCTTAAAAACTGAAGGCTTCGGCCTATTCAGTCGAAGCGAAAAGAATTTGAATACATTGGTATAGATGGTAAAATTTCATAACATGTCAATGTTATTTGTTTCGATATCTTTTTTGTTATTTTTTTTTAATTTAATCTTAGATGCAAAAGAGTTGTCCCAAATATAAATTTCTTTTCATTTTTTCAAGATATTACTTTCAATTTTTTGTTCAAATTCCCTAACCCTTAACTTTGGGTGAAGGGCTATATTGTCGATGTCCTGGTCAAATTTTTTTTGGAACACAAAAATATCGATAATCAAGCTTTTTTTTTAAGTAACTCAGTGGGAAAGACAGGCCCCTACCAAGGGAAACGGTGTTGGGGCCGTGGTGGTAGCAATACATACCATAGTCACTACGTTGTGGTTTTCATTCCTACCACTATACCACCGTACTAACACATTCGTATATTCCCAAAAATAGAAAACGGAGAGAGGAGGCACATCTACATATAAGTTGACCAACTTATATAAATTTTGTCCACTAGAAAAATAATATGTCCCTTATTTATGGATGTAGTTTCTACAAGGCCAAGACTTTACGGAAGGAAAGTAAAGCCTTTCCTCAAATCTTCTTTCGGAAAGAACTATTTGAGTCCTAGATTGGGTCAGATCTGAGTCCATTGCCACCCTTAGTTTTGAGGTGAGGCTCTACTTGTTTTGAAAGAGTTCACATGTCCTACATAACATTGAAAAACGTCTATATACGAGTGAGGCTCTAAACAATCAAATTAAGACACCTCAAAAATTTCACTAGTAGATGTTGTTTTGATGCCAAATATCCTCAAATTGACCATCTCAACCTCAAGATGCATGGATATGGGAAAAAATGGATTTCAAGTTTTGGAAATAATTCATTTTGTAATGACTTTCAATTTTCTATATTTTCAAGGTTTCATAGATCTGTTCGATCTACACTATTTTTGAAGCTTCAAATTTAATAATTAAAAATAAAAATAAATTTTAAAGCTATCACAAAAACTTTTAGTAATGAAATCACATTCATTGATACTATTTGAAAGTTTCCATTACTTTTAATTTTTAGAAACTCGATCTTACACAAACAGCACCCATAACATTTTCCCCTATAAAATTTAGCTTGGACATGACTTTTAGGTAAATGGGATTTGTGCCAGTCCCATGACCTGGCCCAGGCCCCAAGCCGTTCATCTTTTTTATCTTTAAATATTTTTTTGGGTAATTCAGGGAAGATAAGCCCTACCCCATTTTTCACGTAAATTAGGAGCTAGCTAGGGGTGGTCTCCCCATTTTTCACGTAAATTAGGAGCTAGCTAAGGGTGGTCTTAGGGCGTAGGGTGCTACCACCGGTCCTTTCACATTCTGTCTGAAATCCTGGCGTGCAACCATGCTCCGTCCCTCGATTTCTTGCCTGATGCGATGGTTTATTAGGCCTACAACTTTAAATAATTTTCTCATTTCTAGGTATTTCCTTCCTGTATTTCACCTTTATCTATCTACATATTTGCTCCCTCCCCCTCCATAAATTCTGGCTCTCAATCCTCAGGAAGACCAACCCATTTTCGCTGTGCTATCAGAGAGAGGGGTGTAGCAGTAAGCCCACCCAGAAATCATCACCAATCGATTTCTATAGGGTGAGGAGGCTCAGTAACTGCGTGAAATTGGCGAGTGAGAATGACATTGTCACCATTCACACCTTCAAGAAGCCTACTACTCAAACTCCCACTGCTGCTACTACTACTACTGTTGCTGCTTAAATCTTTTCACCTCAAGCCACCCTAGTTTTTCCCTCATCTATTAAAATTTTCGTTAAAGATTTGAGACTTCTTTCTCTCTCTTAATGTTGTCATTATGTCTCTTAATGTTGTGCTTATGTCTCTTATTGCTGTGTCACTCCTGTAATGTGTACGCGCAATCTGGATGTTGAGAAATGAGTTTGGGTAGCAATAAATGAGCTTTCCAATTACACTTCCAGTCTGCAGTACTTTGTGAGGAACAAAACTCTCTCTTTCTCTTTTGTGTGTTGAGGAATTAGTTTATCATGGTGGAAGAAATAATTACAATAAATAAAAATAATAAAAGGTGGGAGAATATACTCTCTTTCAATATTTTTTCATGAGATCAACTCTTTACCGAATCACCAATTCTCTACTTATAAAGAAATGAGATCTCCCCTCTAAATACACTTAGAAGATAGAAAACAAATAATTCAAAAAAGGTGCGGTTTCTATAAGGTTGCAACCTCAAACAATCCAATTAAAGCACACCTTAAAATTTTATCATAACATGTAATTTTGTTGTAAAGAATTATTAGTATTATCTTAAATTCTATTTTCATACCTAATTGGAAAATTATAAATTCCAAAAATGGTTAAAATCAAGTAGATCTATAAATATATGAAAATCTTGAAAATTGACGGTCTAGAAAATGTGTTGCAAGATTCCCCATTTCCGGGACTCAAAAACTTTTCTTTTTCTTATTTATGCATCTCGATGTCGAGATGATTGATTAGAGGGTTTTTTCAACATTAAAACAACATTTATGGTAGATTTTGATTCTACATTTTTAGGTTGCAACCTTATTTAAACTTTTATCAAACCACCTCAAAAGTCATGTCTCCCCCTCATCAAACTATATTAAGTAATTTTTATCCTAACTAAACCTAATTAACATTTATCTTTCTAAAACCAACTTAATCATTTGCCAAATATTAAAACCAACTACATCCCCAAAACAACTCACATACTACCCCATTCACTAAAACAAAAATTAAGGGCCAGTTTGGATGTCCAATAAAAATAATTTGTTATTCATAAAAATTGCAAGTTTTTCAAATGAAAATTGAAAAAAATACAAAGCCTTTTTTCTATTCTTATAAAGTCTATTAGGTGTTACACGAGGATTTTATTTTAGGCCCCACTATGGATTTGTAATACTTTGTGACAAATCCCTCGCCTCACCAAATGGTCACTCCCTCTTCCCCTCTTACCTCCGTGATCTCTTTTCTTTCTCTCTCTCTGCATATTTTGGTTCAGTGTATTAAGCTTATCCTCGCTCCAAATGTCGGGTTTCCATTGATTCTGATGAACCCTAGGGTTTTCTACGAGGACTTATCCGTCTCTGCAAATTTGGGGTTTGTGTTTTTTTTTATGACCATCGGGGCTCTCTCTTTCTCTTTTTCTTTCCAAAAAAAGCCATCAAATCAAACAAGAAATAGAGAGAAACCCAAATCCAAAATGGGTACCTCTTGTTTTGTTACAGTGGCCACAAATTTTTACTTCAAATCTCTAGCCCCTCTGTTTGAGCTCTCAATTTTTCTCTTATTTGCAGTCAAAGTTCCCTTATTCAATTTATTGACAGAAGAAGAACCATATTTTTTTGGATTTATGAGCTTCACCTTTGATGAAACATTCCCTTTGCTTTCTGAAGCCATGACCCACAAATCTCATCTTAAATCCCTATTTTCTCTCACTACAACTTCGAGAGAGAAAGTGGATCCTAGAGAGGCAAAGTGTTGGGCTCAAATCAAAGATGTAGCTAGGCCACACCATGACCAACTTCCCCTCCTTCCTTTCACAAGAGACAAGAGAGAGGCTTGCAACCAGCGATCAGATATGGTAACCTTGGCTTCAACTCCTTGAGAAGTTGAGAGAGAGAGAGAAAGAGAGTTGGGTAATGGGTAAATAGCGAAAAAGCTGGGTGTGGGGTTTGCACAAGGTCGTACTTTCATCCAAAAAAAATCAAAGTCTCACTTGAATTTTTTTGAACGATAACTTTTGCTTTGATATGACAATATTTTTTCTTTCAATTAAAAAATCTAGCAAAATCATCCGGTAATTCAAATAGTTCAAAGTCGGTTTCACAAGATTTTTGGATTACATCCCAAAAATATTCCAATTTTGGGTGCATCCAAACCGTCACTAATCTATTAAAAAATAAAATAAAATTTTGATAACCCTAAATTACCATGACCACCCCCTTTCGATGGACCTTTTTTTTTTCCTCAATTACGCGCCTATCAGAAAATTAAAACACGGGACACGAGGAAAATGCACATGTTTTGAAATATTTTTTTATGCATGGAGCACTCTATGCATGTACTTTCTGGTCAAAGCACCTAGCTACATTGTTTTTTTAGTCTAAAATTTTGTTAGCCATATACCAATTACGAGATGATTATTTAAACAAAAATAATAATTTCGAGTTTTGTTGTATTTGATCTATCCATTAAAAAATTGGACGGTCTCTATTCAACCCCGAAGCTTTTTTATTTTTATAGTAGATAGAAATTTTATTCTATTGGTTGTAAGAGTATTCCTAGCACGTATTTTACCAAAGTGAGTAAATAGATAGTCTACTCCCGCAAGAATAAATAGCTCCAAATGTTTTTTTGAAAGATACGTATTTCTTGAGTGTTGGACAGGTACCTAGTGAAAAAATAGATCAGTATGTCGAATGAAGGGTACTCAATAAGGGGTGCTCATGATAATTTACGTAGAAAATGTACTCATTTCGGAATAAGCGGGTGGAAATACTGTTCATACGTGCATTTGTCAAAGAAGTCACCAAACGTCCAGGCCCACATGAGGTTATATTAGGGAGTGTAGTCTTTACACGTGGTGCATGAGCCTATATTACGGAGTGTAGTCTTTACACGTGGTGCATGAGCCTATATTACGGAGTGTAGTCTTGACACGTGGGGCGTGATCCGAGGAGTTGGTAAAAAGAGTAGGACAAAATAATGGAGAGGGTGCAAAATAGGAGGGCCATACAAAGGGCCAAAGGCCTCTCATATCATTAAAGGGACATCAATGCTTTTTTTATTACTTGAGAGTTTAGACAATTTTTTTGTTCTGATTTTGCATTAGGAAAAATATTAGGACTTAAAAGTATTATCACTTCATATAAGGTAAACTTATGAATTATTGTAAACTCAACGACGAAAGGGTGGCGATCAACCATTAATTTAGGTTTATTTAACTTTTTCAATTAATAGAGAGATTGCCAATACACTCATATTTGGCAAGGGACGAATTTGTGGTCTCGCACTATTGGGAAATGTGATCTTGGCCTACGTGGTGGTAATCTATTGATATAGCATCATATATATGTTGAGAAATGAATTTGGGTAGCTATAAATGAGCTTTCCGATTACACTTCTGGTCTGCAGTACTTTGTGAGGAGCAAAACTCTCTCTCTCTCTCTCTCATTTGTGTGTTGAGGAATTAGTTTATCATGGTGGAAGAAATAATTACAATAAATAAAAATAATAAAAGGTGGGAGAATATACTCTCTTTTAATATTTTTTCACGAGATCAACTATTTATCGAATCACCAATTCTCTACTTATAAAGAAATGAGATCTCCCCTCTAAATACACTTAGAAGATAGAAAATAAATAATTAAAAAAGGGTGCGGTTTCTATAAGGTTGCAACCTTAAACAATCTAATTAAAGCGCACCTTAAAATTTTATCATAACATGTAATTTTGTTGTAAAGAATTCTTAATATTATCTCAAAATCCATTTTCATACCTAATTAGAAAATTTTAAATTCTCAAAATGGTTAAAATCAAGTAGATATATAAATATATGAAAATCTTGAAAATGGACGGTCTAGATAATGTGTTGCAAGATTCCCCATTTCCGAGACTCAAAAACTTTTTTTTTCATATTCATGCATCTCGATGTCGAGATGATTGATTAGAGGGTTTTTTCAACATTAAAACAACATTTCCGGTAGATTTTTGAGGTGCATAAGTGATTCTACATTTTAAGGTTGCAACCTTATATAAACTTTTATCAAACCACCTCAAAAGTCGTGCCTCCCCCTCATCAAACCAACTACATCCCCAAAACAACTCATATAATTCCCCATTCACTAAAACAAAAATTATGGGCCAGTTTGGATCTCCAATAAAAATAATTTGTTATTCATAAAAATTGTAAGTTTTTCAAATGAAAATTAAAAAAAAAATAGAAAGCTTTTTTTCTATTCTTATAAAGTCGATTAGGTGTTACACGAAGATTTTATTTTAGCCCCCACTATGGATTTGTAATACTTTGTCACAAATCCCTCGCTTCACCAAATGGTCACTCCTTCCTCCCCTCTTACCTCCCCTGATCTCTTTTTTTTCTCTCTCTCTGTACATTTTGGATCAGTGTATTAAGCTTATTCGCGCTCCAAATATAGGGTTTCCGTTGATTCTGATGAACCCTAGGGTTTTCTACGAGAACTTATCGTCTCTGCAAATTTAAGGTTTGTGTTATTTATTATGAACATTGGGGTTCTGTCTCTCTCTTTCCAATAAAAGCCATCAAATCAAACAAAAAATAGAGAGAAACCCAAATCCAAAATGGGTACCTCTTGTTTTGTTACAGTGGCCACAGATTATTACTTCAAATCTCTAGCCCCTCTGTTTGAGCTCTCAATTTTCTTCTTATTCGCAGTCAAAGTTCCCTTATTCAATTTATTGGGAAATGCGATCTTGGCCTGTGGTGGTAATCGATTGATATAGCATCATATATATGGTTTGAATCACAACTTCATCATTGAAAACAAACGTTTTGTTGGCCTAGTATTTAGTGGCAATTATTGCTCTTTCCTCAGAGATTAATTTATGAGATCTACTGCCTTTTTTTGTTGGGTTTGTTGTCGAAAAATTTATTCTAAAAATGAATGATGCGGTCCAAAATTTTCCATTATTTAGATGGACGAGCACCAATAAATCGTCTTGCCATGCCGACCAAAGACCATAGAAGTCCAAAGTTAGCATTCAACTGGAATCTCAATGCACTAAGTATTATTATTTTACAATTGTTTTTAGCAACATTTTACAATTCTTGGCAAGTTGCTATGGTATATTTTGATGGGGGAACACATCCTCTCTAACTTTTTGTTAAAAAAAATATATTTTGATGCGGATG